TAGTATGTGCAGTAACCAGAAGTGATGCATTGCACAATATGATTTCCCCTGATAGTGGATTAGTCCTAGATGGTTGGCAGCTTGGTTCCATTCATCAGTCGCAGCTGGATGATAAAGAAATTTCACCATTACTTGTGGCAAAAGAGTCCAATGAACTTAGACCAGCCTGGAATAAAGTTTCACATGGATCCGGAATACTGAAAACCCTATGGAGGATGTCGGATAGATTGGAGGTGTTGCATGGGATACTTTACCGACGTTTCATTCATGATGATGGTCAAACAGGTCATCTTCAACTTATTGTTCCTACATCTCTGCGAGGTCAAGTGCTGAAGCATTTTCATGATCTTCCCTCGGGAGGCCATCTAGGTGCGGAGAAGACACTTGACAAAATAAGAAACTCAATGTACTGGCCCTAAATGAAAAGAGACACCGAGAAATATTGTTCACAGTGTGATCTTTGTGCAGCCAAGAAACCCTCTAGGACTTCCAATAGAGCTCCTTTACATCAATATTTGGTCAGAGAACCTATGGAACGGGTAGCCATTGATATCCTTGGCCCCCTTCCTCTTTCAGAGAATGGCAATAGATATATTTTGGTGATATGCGATTGTTTTAGTAAATGGACTGAGGCATTTGCCATACCAGACCAAGAATCAACCACAATAGCAAAAGTTCTGGTCAATGAAATTATTTGTAGGTTTGGTACCCCCCTTCAAGTCCACTCAGATCAGGGTAGGTCATTTGAATCCAACCTTTTTAAAGACATGTTGTCAATTTTTCGGATTGAGAAAACAAGAACTACCAGTCAGAGACCCCAAGCCAATGGCACAGTAGAACGTTTTAACCGAACTTTAATTAGCATGCTAACCATGTATTGTGACAAAAACCAGAGACACTGGGATGATGTTCTGCCACAGGTGATGATGGCATATCGGTCTTCTTTTCACTCTAGTACTGGTGTATCTCCAAACAAAATGATGCTAGGTAGAAATATGATAATGCCCATGGAAGCTATCATTCCGAGGCCAATGAATCTAGCGATGAAGAATTCTCTGAGGCTGATGATTACGTTCATAAACTACAGGAAAATTTGTCTATCATACACGACTTTGCCAGAAAACATCTGAGACAAAATGCGGATTATCAGAAAAAACACTATGACACAAAAGCACAAATTAGGAGATTTGGGGAGGGAGAACCAGTCTGGCTGTATGATGCATCAAGAAAAATTGGAGTATGTAGCAAGTTGACATGTGCGTGGAAGGGCCCCTACATAATAACAAAGAAAATAGATGATATCACATCCCTAGTCAAAAGATAGTCACAGAAGCAGAGAGGCAAAGTATACCATATTGACAGACTACTTCCTTATAAGGGGAAACATCCACCAAAATGGTACAAAACGTAGATCCAACAGAGACAAGTGTAATTACTATGCAGAAATCCTTGTATTTATTTATTTTATCCTTGAGCCAGTGTAGGGAGGGACGGACGTGCACAATCTATGGCCCACATTGTTGGTAGACGCAATGATAGGGAGGTGATGGATGTGTGCAGTCCATGGCCCTCACTGTGGTTGATACAGAGTTGTAGATGACCACTACATCTCATGGTACAACTTTAGCTGTGTAAATATGTGAAGTAGTTATAAGGAGCTACTTGAGGTTGTTTGTCGTTTTTTTTTTACCTGCATCCCATTTTTATACGTACCAAATTAAACCATTAAAGTCATCATTGAAAGTTTTTGTTGTTATTTGTTGCCATGGTCGGTGGCGTCCCATTTCCCCACATCTTGTGCCTTCCATTTGCATCCAATTGTCCCATATTCATGCCCATGCTTTTATTCCCATTCTGTTTGTAATATTCCTAGAGAGATTCCATGCGTATTACCTAAATAGATATTGACAGAAATGATTACATTTCGAGACACCTGCCATTAGATACACACCTATCATTTTGGCCAATGTCATACTTACCCAGAGAATGAGAGACAAATTTTGTTCTTATAGAATGCCATTGAAGTGTCACCTAGAAGTTGATGGGCAGCCATGTAACAAGACCTTCGATAATCGGCGGAAATTGAAGGAGCACCTCACCCCAGCACCACAAAAGGCCTTCAAAGTTATATGCCCTTTCCGTTTAGAAAAAGAGATTACATTTAACCGTGTCGCGGACCTCAGGGTTCATGCATCAAAACACGATAATGATGCTGTAGCTGCAGCTAACTTGCCCCTGGAGGAGTTACTGTCAGAGAACAACGCTTTTTGGATTGCCTACCACCCTGCCCATTATAGAGCCATTATAGAGCCGACTGACAAGAAGGCCAGAGCGTCCACTCGACTGAGGGCCATTCTCCTTGAGCCAGCCTAGGAAGACCAGACAGAATTGGTTGGAGGGGTGGGAGACACCAGCTTCCAACTTTCAGGCACCTGTGCAGCCCGCTGAGTACAGCCCCACCTGTCCCAGCATCTATTCAGTGCTGTCCATTTCTTTGATACCTGGGGAGATTTTTGCTTTCTTTTTGCTTTCTTGGAAGATGGATGTTGCCTTTTCCGTGTGCACCTTGAAAACACCATTTTGTTCGATGCCAGGAGCACAGAGAGCCTCACAAGGAAGATGGCACTTCAGAAACCGCCCTCACTGCCTCCAAACGACGAGTTTCAGTCATTGCATGAATGGCATTCTAAAGCGAAACACATGGCTTTTGCGTTGGGAGTAGATGCGAAATACTTCAAGGCTGTGTCGTCTTACAGCAAACCTAAGGTTCCAAATTCCCCAGTCCCTGAAATCGAACTGTATGCAGAATCTGACTTAGATGCAGGATCCCCTGGGCCATCAACCATGGATGCTCCATTCAAGACCCCTACCTATGAGCCATCAACTACAGTTCCAGAACCATCTGCCATGCTCACCAGCAGTTACGAACCACAACCCAAAAAGAAACGTGTAGAACCCAGTCCTCCCCAGATAGCTGCTTCTCCTTCTTTACCCCAAAGTGTTGAGGCCTCCACTGTTCCAAGTACCTCTCCTTCACGGCCTTCCGGAGCCAAAGGATCAGTATCACAAGTCTCCAGTCTGGGGTCCCTGGCAGAGAGAGCGAAGAATCTATTAGCCCGAGGTTGCATGCCAGTACTTCCACCTGCCAGGAGACAATGGCACAAGGATGAAACTGTAATACTGAAAAGTGGAACTATCAATATTAGATGGCCTCCTAAGGAATTTTCTGCAATGACCCCTGATAGGAAATTATTAGAGCTGGAATTTACTGCCCTGACATTAAAGAGGAGCAAGCCAAATGGTGGAGACGTATTAGATAGGCCCACACTGTTGGACGAATTTAATTTCTTAGCACTACCCGGTACTCCAACTCTTTCGCCAAAGAAAATGAACAAGCCGCAAGTAAAAAGTAGGGTCTACCTGTACCAATCTATTAGGGACATCGCAAATGGAATCTCTCAGACTTCCCACGATGAGGCACTCTTAGTATTCTTGGAGTATGGATCAGGAAAAAGGCAACGTCTGTGGGATGATCTTATTGCTACAATTGATGCTGCTGGCGTGACACTAAGACTTAATGATTAAGTATGATAATTAGAACTCTATTTTTCCATACATTGTAATTCAGGAGAATTAACGGACTTGGGTGGGGAGAGTGTAAGACCTCTAGCCTGTCATGTGTAATAACTAATATAATAATATTTTAGCATCAGTCGATCAGCTCTGCCATGGTACTGTATTGTATTGTGTAATTTATTACTGCATTTTTGCAGACATGTTATTTTAATTGTTGATGATACAGTTCTGTTTTGCAGAACATGTTATGTATTTATTCTATTTATGACATGTTGATATGTAAATGATCTATTTTCTAATTCAATTCAGTTCCTCATGAATCCGATCACATACCTTTTAAAACTACATAATTTCTTGCAGTTATTCATGAACCTGGTTGGAGATATTATTACTTATATGAACTGTAATAGCGCGATTATTTGTTCTGGATACTTTTCATACAAACCGCTGCCATCTTTGTTGATGTGACGTAAATACTAGCCAGAGTTTCGCGTTTTGTATTTCTATGATTTATTGATCGTGTTTTATTTGAAATAACACAGATTATTGCTAAAACAATTGTTACAAACTATTTATTATAATTAGGCAGTCATTTGTACATTTAATAACTTATCAAGTGTTCGTATTTGATAGTGCCTAGTTTGACATCGTCTGCTATACGATTCAATGTTTTTATGACAGAAATACGTATTTCTAAGACCTGAATATTTACTTACGGTTTGAGATAATATCCAGCATAGTCATATTAATTTAATCCATGTGTATTTGTCAAATCACAGCTTGTTTTTAATTATTTATCCTTTGTGTTCGGCAAACTTGTTTGGCATTGTACGGCAAGTCTCATGTTGTTCGGTACCGTACAGTGCCACGATTGGTAGAGTGTCGCCGTACAGTTATCTTATTGGTTAAGCCCTATCACGTGGTACCTTAGAAAGTCTATATAAATGAGTCGATTTGCCAGTAATGGCAGATAATTTGTCGGAAGTTCACCAAGCGCCAAATACGAATTATAACTGAATTCCAAAAGCATTACGATCAGCCAATTTAGGTGAGAATCAATTAAGGTAATTATCTCCCAACACACTGGACACCTATTTATCATTTGGAAACATTATTATTAATTACTATTAATTGTTGACGGTCTCTTGGGTGCCCTGCCCCTTTTTACCATATCCCTGTACGATAGACGCCCGCCACCGACCAAACTCTGAAACAGTTGTATTTTACTTTATTGCTGAAATGTGATAATAAATTACTGTTACCTTCGAGAAACTCTCGTTCTGATTTAAACCTGAGGATAACAAGGATTTTAGTACAGGAGTACTACCAGTATTTATTTTTGTAGCGTCCCTGACTTAAGCTTGGCCATTCCCAGGGAGCTTACATTACTTGCATTATTTATTATTGATTATTATTTCAGGCAACAGACTTATGAATACAGATACCGGGCTCAACCGAGGAATTCATCAAATTGCTTCAACATTGAATTGGGGACCCGACCCTCGTCATAGTGCAGGAAGACTAACTCATAAAGCCTTGTGAATATTATACTGTCATCCTAGTTGTGTCTTATCAGTCTGGTCTATTAATTGATCATAAAGGAATATTTATGTCAAGAAATCTTAGAACACGGTCTAACCTCGTTATTTTAACCCTAAGGGACTAATAAACTTCCGAAATATTAGATAAAATTTAAATGACATTCAGACTCACTACTGTAGAATCACATAATCCTTTGGTTTTGACTTCTCAGTATCCAAGTTACAGAGGAAAAATTGACTTTCGAAAAAAAAATCAGCAGTAAGTGAAATGTTTGTAGCGTAAGTTTTTTTTAACAAAGTTCAGACAAATTGCTATAAATCTATATAATCAATCTTAGACGGTTTGCTTACTGTTCCTCTGTTTTTTTATTTAGACAGTCAACTCATGGTGATTGGCATATATGGCATGTTTTCTCACTAGAGTGGACAGAACAACATGTCATGTGCGTAACTTATTTTCTTGTGTATTTGCATTTGATTTCCTAAAAATATATATGTAAAAATGAGAGTGTTAATTCGTGAATCTGATCGATTTCTTTCTTTTTTTTTTTGTATAGTTAATACAAGAACAAATCTATGATTTTAATTTATTACAAATTTATTTTACATAATAACATCCAGTTTTTCTTAAGATGCAATCATTGTCCGTATCCAAATAAGGTTGTAGTGAATATGGTTTTTAAGGATATTTAACAAAATTAACAAAACATTATAGGGAAATTTTTTATATGTAATATACTGAATAAATAACTAATATGGGACCAATCACAAAATATTAACATTTCCCTGTTGATTTTAATGTATTTATTCAGTTGCTTGGTTGATGACCAAGAAATACTACGTGTGAACACGCCCTCTGAAGGTTTCTGGAAGTTTGGATATTTTAATGGAAACAAGCATCTGGGGAAATTCTCTGAACGCTCCTTTTGATCAACCAGTAAAGTGTTCTTTTAATCTTTCAAAAACCAAAATAACTTTTTTAAAATACACTTTTTCATTTTTTTAATACACATAATCAAGATTAAATTTTGAATAATGAAGCACTTTATAAGCAATATACAAGTCATCGAAGTGCCTGTTGTATAAATGAAACCATGCATGTCAAAAACATTAATACATTTATTTATATACAAGGTATTTTATATATCTATTTTTGATATTGAATTTCCATTTATGATTTTTTTTTATATCGAATTCCTAGTTCCAGCTCCTGTTGAATGTGGCCGTGGGAGGCACGAAGTATTTCGGCGATAATTTACACTATGACACACCTAAACCCTGGCGCAACGACTCCCCACACCCCATGAGGGACTTCTGGGAGAAAAGGAATGTTTTGCTTCCAACCTGGCATGGCGATAATATTGCTTTTCTTATTGATTATGTAGAAATGATTCAATATTAAAATGATTAAAATGATCAGTGTACGTGATTGATTTTGTTGATGAAGCACTCATTAAAATCTCTATTATTTCAGAGCCATTTATATGAGGTATGCAAGTAAGCGAAGATTAAAAAATTAAATTAACTAAATCTCAATGTTAAAATCAGTCATATACATATATTTACTATTTTTCTGAACAAAATTTGTAATTTGTTTCATTCTGATTTTCTGCTTGTCTCTTTTCATAATTAGGACGGTTTCAAAAAATTTGCACATGCTTCTAGTGTATGATAGAATCAAGCTTTTTTTTCAAAACTAGTTTACATTGCTTATTTTCTAACCCATCCTCTTAGATAACAGTGCTAGCCTCACAACAGAGTAAATTTATAAAAAGTTTTATTTTAGAAATATAAAAAAAACTGTTGAACATAACAATTTGGCTGCAGTTTATCAAAATAGTATTTAAATTAAAAATATTATTGCGTAGAGATTAAAAATGAAGCATAATAATGATTTTGTATACTATTTCTATATGCAGTTTACTGCTTATCATCATAAAGAATGTAAGTAAATTTGGAAAGAATTTGCTTAATATGTTTACGCATATATTTTAACGGTTTTCATTTTAAGTCCGAGCATTGTTATCTTTAAACTTTTATAATCCAGGGTATTTCTCATTTTCTTTACCCCTTTTTGCCCTGTAGGATAGTATTTTGATACAGATTCTTTACACAGTTCTTATTATCAGTATACTCTATAATTTGCACTTTTTGTGCTTTTTTAAGATTCAGATGAGAATAATGATTTTGGGTGTCAGTGCATGGTAGTTCACATCTCAAATAATTGTGTTGTAGCTCATAGTTCTGGTCATTAGGACCATTCTTTGTTTCAACTTCATGACTTCTACTAGTGGCAGAAGCTCTCCTGCGATTCCCCATCTTCGTTGCCTTGAAATAATATTTTCTGCTACAAAAGATTGTTGAATATGAAAAAGGCAATAGATAATGATTCCTGAACACCCCTTTTGCCCCATATAAAGACATTTTAAAGACACGTGTGTTCATTGTATGCTCGAGAAACCAACAAACCTTTTGTAGAAGTAAAGTAGCATTGAAAATAACAGAAAAGTACCAAATACATGTATTGCTAAAGTTATAACCCAAGGAACTTTCTCCATAAGAGTGTCATGGAATTCTGTAACAAAGGAAAAAAATACTAAAGATTAACAAAATTAAATACATACATTCATAGATAAACATAAATCAGCAACCGGTGTCTACAATTCAGATATCCTAAAGCATAGAAAACTTCTACCATCTAAAGGTTAAAATTTAATAAAAGAATGATTTTAGCAGTTTTCCATTTTAAATGATTTTTGCCTTTTTTCCTCAGATAATATTAATTGTGATGAGCAAAATCGATTGTCTAATTAGTATTGTTTAAAATAATATTGATGTCGTTTTAAATTGAACAATTGATTATATCCTTAATGAATGAAAAGATTTAAAATCCTTTTAAGTGTACTCACGTTTAGTCTTATTACTAGAAATGTGTATCAATTCTATTTCCTTACAAAGGACATAGTCGATTGGCATGGTATAACAGGAAGACATAGGTGGAATTATACCATAACTCTGAGATGCACACGACATCTTGCCATCGGAATCTGCAAATATTTAAATTTGATCTTAATAAAATACTGTATAAACCATAAACGGCATTTTATTTAAACATACAGTCTTCTGCACAGAAGAATGCTCAGAAAAAAAATCTATTTTTCTAAGATGAAAATAAGATTCATTCAAGTGTATTTAAAAGCTTGCCTTTTATCCAAAACACAGTATTCGGTGGTTTGTTAAAAATTACACTGTTATTCCATGGAAATGATTCTGTGACAGTGGCTATGACCAAAGAAGAAGAGTTACAAATACTTTCTGCATCTTCTTCTTTGATTGTACTTTGAGATGTTCCAAGAAAGACAAGGGTATGTTTTGTGGAATTCAAATCTAAAACATACAAGTAAATAGAAACAGAATGCTACAGTCTTAATGAAAATCTTTAATGTAAGCGCTTTCAGTAATGTTCGCTCTTCAGATATATATATATATATATATATATATATATATATATATATATATATATATATATATATATATATATATATATATATATATATATATATATATGAATTTATAACTTATCTGCTATATGAAAATGAAGAAAGAAAACAATCAAGTTCAATACAGGCATGATTACGCCTTTGGATTTCGCAGTATTTTTTTTATGTTTTTTTTTAACTCTAATGACTACATATTTATTATACTGATTTAACAGTTATTTTATTTGTTTAACAGGAAGTTGGGACAATTTAATTCATTTTTACTTCAATCAACCGTCTTGTATTAACTTCCTTTTAATAAAATAAATCTGATTCTCTCATAAATATGCATTAGTGGTCTCCCCAATACATGAACAAAAAACAACCGATATTTTCATGTCATTATTTCTTAAATGTGAAGAGCAACAAATAAAACTTTTTATTCACTTAATGTGTTGAAAGGGAAGATAAAATGCACCAAATCTCTAGTGCATTTATCTGATCCTTTGACGTATGTAAATAGTCTTTGGCATCCCATATTTCAGCTCTACTAAGTTTTTTATTATTATTTTTCGGATTTTCAACGTTTCGGCATCAGCATCACTGAAGAGACATAATATGCCGAAACGCGGTGCATCGATTCTTTTCTGTTTTTTAATTAACATTATATAATAGTACTCACTTACAGAAGATTTTCTTCTAGCTGTCAGTTTGGCTCTGTTGCTATCTGTAACTTTCGCCCTTGGTGCTCACCTGTCGGTTCCGATCGTCGTTAGATGGTCTCCAATCTTTACCGGATGTTTCGACCCTTAACCCTGACATCCTCCAGTTAGTGGGTCAACAGTGGGGGCCAATCAACTACTCGATGGATCCCGACAGTTCCAGCAGATATCATCTCGGCGGTGCCATATCCAGCAGGATGACTTTTCTGCTGTTTTTCCCAGTCTCCTTGCTGCTGTCTTGCACGTTCTTCCTGATAAACCTAATCGTGTGAGCAACTTCCACACTGATTGCCCTGGGAAGCCTCTAAAGCCGACCTCTATTGGAAACATTCAGACACTCTAGCCTCTATCCCTGCAGTCTGCCATGAGGTCTACGTACATAGGGTTCTTCCTCTCTTTTGCTTCCTCACAATTTTCTTCCCAGGGTACAGTCAGCTCTATTGCAACCAACGTCTGCTGGGACACTAAAACTGGGTCTGGTCTTAGGTTGGTTTCCACGATGTTAGGGAAAACTAACTTCTTGTGTAGAGATCGACTTGGAACTTCCACCAAACAGCCCTGTCATCTATCCAACACTGATGTCTGCATTGGTGTTCTTGTGTCAGCTCTTGCTTTACCCTGTCTCACAAACTGAATCTGTGTCTATTTCTTGCCTGTTGGTCGTTTCCTTCATGTCTTGACCTCCAGCACATTGGCCAACTCCCACAGGACTTTGTCGTGTCGCCATCTATATCTTCACTGGGTCAGCGCAACTTGGTATCGTGATAGAATATGCACCACTAGCTGTCCCTCTCTTTCCAGACAGTTTGCAGCTAAGGTCTTCTCCTAGCCCCCACTGTTGCATGTTTTCAAGTGATGGGAGTGTCTCATCCACTGACCTCAGCAGGAACGAGATTCTAAACTGGTTCTTTCTGCATAATTCTGCCCTGGTTAATTCTCGCGCCGGTAAGTCCCACTTCATCCAGGCCCCCTATTTCCCATGTTCTGTTGATTTTGCTTTCCGTTGGTCTTCTTCGGTGCGCTGTTTTTCAGCCTGATCTATGGTGCGCTTCTCTGATGCTGATGCTTTTGTCATCCGCTGGAAGTATGACATTCCCAAGCCCTGTCGCCCAGTGCTTGCATTTAATAAGGCTGGGAGTCAGAATATAACTATAATAAACATTAAAATCTTTAACAATATGTTTATTATTTACTTGTAGTTCTTTATATTTCGCGGGTCCGTTTATTATTACTAGAATCTTAAGTTAATTGATTGATCCCACATAGATTAAAATCGCAGAGTATTAATTAGGCATTATTATTACTTATCTTATTTTTATGATCTTTTCAGGAAATACAGTCAAGGACGGACTGAAGTTTTTCACGTTGTTCGGCCGTTATTTACACACTGAATAGTCAACGGATTTGTTCGGATTTTATCCCAGTAAAATTACAAGGAGCACACAGCGGATGTGACCGGTCGGCTGGGGATGCGCACTCCTCCATTGCACCCGATCCCACCTCGGATGTATAGAGGTATGTGTTTGTTCTGCTTCTATTTTGTAATGATTAATAGACCTTTAAGTTGGAAAACTGTTCGTTATCTCCAAATATTTCACACTAATTGGACCATTATTTACACACAGTGATTTGTCTACGGATTTTTGTTTGCCCGATCAAGATCAGGAACAAATGTGAACGGTTGATGATAGAGAGTGCTTGTACCTCAACTGCAACTGATACCACCTCTGATGTCTTTGGGGCTGTGTGTTTGCTTTGCTCTCGATTAGTATTGTTTAGACACTTAAGCTTGAATACTCTTCCTTATCTCAATATTTCATTGAAATACACAAGGTTTAATACAAATAAATAATATATATTTAAATTCAATTTTCTAAATATTTGAACATTTACTAACAAAAATATGTTACATTGATTTTATCACATCTCAGTATGTGTACATGTCTTCGTTTAGTGTTAGCTCAATGTTTTTGGCAGAGGTTGTCTGATACGGGGTGTCTATGCCTGTATAGTGGTTTTCTTCCTTTTCAGTTTTCTCTTTATGGACTCTTTTTAAATGCAAATGGTCATATTGACCATAACTTTCAATGTAAACTGGATCGCAGCCCGATTCGTTGGCCTTTCTTTCTGTGTATCGTTCTTCTATACCTCTTTTCGTTTCGTCTTTCTCTCCTACAATGTCGGATTCTTTGACTGAATTGGTCTGCTCTGTTGTCTTCGATTTAATTTTTCGTCTGTAGAAATACAATTTCACTTTAAGTTTTATTGTGGTATGTTTTCTTTTCTGATAAATTTCCGAAAATTGAGTGAATTGCTTAACATTATCATTTTGCAAGCGAGGATGTCAAAGTCAGACTAACCTTCTTCGGTAGATGTATGTAAGCGCTGAAATCGCCAATAAAACAGCTAGAGGTATTACAATAAACATCACAATGACTGGTACCTTAAAAATGTCCCGACTCTCTGGATCTGTGAAAAATATCAGGATATGATTGATTGATTGTATATTGTCTAACGTCCCTCTCGAGAATTTTTCACTCATATTGAGACGTCAGCGTATGCCGGTGAAGGTCTTCAAATTTTTACCTTTACTCGTCACTCAAGGCCATTGAGCAGTGAAGGATCTTAAATATCGTGCCAACGCCTGCCGCTGACACGGGTCCTCGGTTTTTAAGGTCTCATCCGAAGGATGACACAGCTTTCACTTCAAAGTGCCGAGCGCATGGCATTTTTTATCGACTTAATTAAGTCAGTCGCGGCCGAGATATGAACTCACGACCTCCCAATCACGGAGCGATCGAGCGCTCTACCGACTGAGCTACCGTGAACGGTAATATCAGGATATGATAACAATGGGAAGACGTATTAAATACCATGTGATTCAAAGTGTGTATAACTACGAAAATTCAATTAAAAATTAAGTTGCCATGACAGATTCCTTTAAATTGTTCAATAGTAAGTATGGTATTCATTTGTTGTTTGAATTAAAGTAATACATCTTGTATAGCTTAAAATACTTGATCATTTATGGTTTATATTTTCTCTCATTTAAAACATTGATATGATTCGTTTTTCATAAATTAATAAAGCTATATACACAGAAAGAAACAAAATACCCTTTATCTCATTGATGCATGTACTGCTGTTCTGTGTCATATTTATTTGTCTACAAAGGACATAGTCGATTGGAATGGTATCACAAGAAGACTTAGGTGGTAATATACCATAACTCTGAGATGCACACGACATCTTGCCATCAGAATCTGCAAATTTGTACCCTGATCGTAATAATACGGAAGCCCGTTGAGGCCAGTTCAGAGAAATATTTTTCATTGCGTTTATACGCAATAATTATTGCTTTTAATCGCAAAACTTTGCGTTTAATTGCAATAATTATTGCATTTAAAGGCAAAACTTTTCGTTGAATTGCAATAATCATTGCGTTTAAACGCAAAACACTTTGCGTTTAATTGCAAAAGATTGTGATTAAACGCAATCTTTTGCGATTAAAAGCAATAATTATTGCGTTTTAACGCCATAATATTTTTGCGTTTAATCGCAATAATTAATGCGTTTAATCGCAGTAGTTTTTGCGTTTAATCGCAATAGTTTTTTGCGTTTAATCACAAATTTTTTGCGTTTAATCGCAAAAATTTAAATGCAATACTCTCTGCATTTTATCGCAAAAATCCTTCCTTTTAAGGATTTATTTTGAATTTAAACACAATAATTCAGTGCTGTAGTTTGAAATCAAACATCGGCTAGCCAAAAATTATCATGAATTACGGATTGATTCCGTTTGGTTCTGTGTCTTGTTGCTAAATGTTGCAGTTTGTGAGATTTTAAGTTTAACAATGGCATCCTAAGTAAACAACCAAAGTTTCTTAAACCTATTAGAATCCAACACTTTTAACGCATTAATAAATTCCGTAGGTATCACATCAAATTAAGAATGTTTCAGTGGTATTAAAGGTACTTGGACACAGATTTGAAGTTATTATTTTCTCTGTAATATTACAACTTATATATTTTAATATCATTTCACACAAAAATTAATTAAAAATCTTATTTCGTTTAAAAGATATTGAAATTTCAAAATTTTCGGCGGGTTTGATTGACATATCCTTGCACTCTCACAAATTTAATTTTATTCTTAATCCTTAGGAAAAGTGGCAATCTCGTTTTGTATAAATGAAAAATATTAATACTATAAATAAATCCAGAAAATTCAGAGTAGACACGTTCGAAAGCAAAACAAACACACAATATATTGTCAGTCCGTGCAGTTATATGGTAAGCAGACTATGACGATTGAACGCACCCGGTGAATTCTAAATATAAACAATAACAGAACTCGAGCCCTGTTTACAAAAACTGTGTACATAACACGAGTGTGCTCGATTTTCTAAACTCTGTACGCATCTCTACGGAAGCGTAAATGGCTCTACACTTGTTGTGTTATAACTTTGTATATTGTCTTATATTTTATCGACATATCAACATATAAAGTGTTATACCTCCTTATTTATGCAGATATTTTGAATTGTATTGAGCTGTATTTACAAAATTAAAGGCAACTTCTTTTGTTCAATAGATTTTATTGCTTTAACTTTTATCGACTGAAATATTATACTAATTTTGAAATATCGATCTAAACAAAATATTTAATAATGTCAATATAGTATTGTCGATATAAAGAAATAAATATGAAGTTATTTCGGTATAGATATATGAATATTTTCGAGAAGAAGTCAGAAAAAGGTGTTTTTGAATTAACTTGGCGGGAGCGGGAATTCTGATTAATCTTCACTTCACTTGGGAAAGCTTATGTACCATGTATTTGCTATTGTGTACGATTATAGGCTGAAACAAAATTCAAAAATATTTGAAAAAGGAAGATGGAGAGACATCAACAGTTAGATTATTACCATTGTCATAGAGGGTTATTGTACCCATAACCACCTCTGAAGAGGGGGTCTGCTATATATTCTATCATTGTTCACTGCCTATATCTCTTGAGTTCAGTTGGAGATTGTTAATCGTTAATGAAGCGAAAATAGAAAGTAACACTATGTATTATAAAAGTAACACTGATTATATATGTACTTTTTAAGTATTTGATGCTGTTCCACTCTGTGTTATTCATAGGATCTGACTCAAGAATGCGAACCTCAACAGTCTTGGAACCCCCCCCCCCCTTCCTTGCATAAAAATATAAACACCAGATCTAACTTCTTATGCTTTAAATAATATAAAATAATTTGTGATTTCAGCCAATCTGTATAAGCTTAGTCACAAAGTTTAAAGGAGGAAAGTGTAGTGTCAGCCAAAATAAATATATATAACAAACAAAACACCCCAAGGATTTAATAATCTAACTGCGAGAATTTTCTTAAATTTGGGGACATATTAGTGGATCTCTGTTGTACTCAGTTTTTTTAAAAGCTGGATGAGGGGCACGAAGATACTCTTGTCTCCCCTCTTCAAAAGTGGTGATCGGTGCAATAGTCCACTATGGATCTATAACTTTTAATGTGTCTTCATCTCCCTTTTTCAATACTGGAGTATATACTTTTTAATTTGATTCAGCCTTTAATCGTACATGATACATAAGCTTTCACTGATTCCCGAGTGAAGTGAAGGTTCATTGGAATTCCCGCCCCGCCAAAATAATTCAAAAAGACTGTATTATGACTTCTTTATCACAAATATTTATAAATTAGAATCAATATAACTGTATCTTTATTTCATCATATCAACAATACTATATCGATATGATTAAATATCTTGTTTCGATCAATATCTGAAAATCAATATATTATTTCAGTCGATAAAACTTAAAGCAATAAAGTTTATTGAACAAAAGTAGTTGCCTTCAATTATATTAAGAAATCTTAATACAATTTAAAATATGTGCATAAATAAGGAGGTATAACACTTTATATGTTGATAAGTCGATGAAATATAAGACAATATGCAAAGTTATAACACAACAAGTGTAGAGTCATTTACGCTTCCGTACATCTCTTAGTTCGGAATGACGATACTTGTGAAGGTGTTTTGCTTTCTAACATTTCTACTCTGAATAAAATTATTTTTCTTGATAAAAATTTTAATATTTCTCATTAAAACATCAAAATTGCCACTTTTCCTAAGGATTAAGAATAAAGTTAAAATTTGTGAAAGTGCAAGGATGTGTCAATCAAACCCGCCAAAAAAATTAAAGTTTTAATAACTTTTAAATGAAATAAGATTTTTAATTAATTTTTGTGTGAAATGCTATTAAAATATATAATTCGTGATATTATACAGAAAAAATGAGAATATATTAACTTCAAATCTGTGTCCAAGTACCTTTAATAGCCATATCAATTTGGTAGTACACATCAATCAATCTGTTTTCATTTGATTTATTTTTGATTTCATATGATTCCATCTCCTAAATTCTCGTGTTCTCGTGTTTACTGTATGTGATCAAAGGAAAGGTTGTGAATATATATATATACATAATATATATGTACATATGTACATATACATAGGTCTAATCATTCCATCGGTCGTTTCCTAAAGCCCTTTATAAAGGTACATGGTGTAAATTATGTGACCGCAACGTGGAGTGATAGTTTTTCCATCATTATTTCTTCTCTAGTCTTTTATTTCGAAATTCCTTTAAAATTGTTTGCATAGTTTTGCATGCTAAAGCTTAAAGTTTGTTTCTTTCTAAATTTGCCTTTGTTTTACAGACCGGCACTTCTTTCTCCTCTTTAAATCCATACCATGATTTAACCATTCAGAAAATGCTTGTTCAGAAGAATCTGATTCTATAAAGCTTAACAATACATAATTCTCCTCATAGATTAATGTAGAAAAGAAAAAAGAAACAAATATCAGCGTGAATCCATTGCACTCTTCAAAGAGAAATATTTGCTTTAAAATACAAAGATTATTGCGTTTAAATGCAAAAAAATTATTACGTTTAATCGCAATATTATTGCGATTAAACGCAAAATTTATTGCGATTAAACGCAAAAATTATTGCAATTAATCGCAATAATTATTGCGATTAAACGCAAAAATATTATTGCGTTTAATCACAATCTTTTGCGATTAAACGCAATGATTATTGCGATTAAGCGCAAAGTTTTGCGTTTAAACGCAATAATTATTGCGATTAAACGCAAAGTTTTGTGATTCAAGTTCTTTATTGACTTTGAGCATTATAGCTCATCAGTATAAACAAATACAAACATGACTGTACAGGTTTACAGGAGAATGTGATAATTACTGCGATTAAACGCAATAGAAAATATTTCTTTCCCTGGACTGGCCTCAACGGGCTTCCACATAATAAAATACCGGTACTTCCTAAATTTTATTTAATTGAAACATAGTTTCAACTATACTGAAGATTACCAGTATGTCTAAAAATTTAAAAGCCTGCCTTTTATCCAAAACACATCAGTTCTCCCCGGTTTGTTCAAAAACACACTCTTATTCCATGGAAATGATTCTGTAACAGTGGCTATGACCAGAGAAGAAGAATTCGAAGTACAATTTTTTTCTGCATCTTCTTCTTTGATTGGACTTTGAAATGTTCCAAGAAAGACGTAGTTAACCTGTGGCAAATCAGATTCTAAAAGAAAATTTAAAGAAAAAAAAAACAAAGGTTCTTTATATGGTTTCCAACGTATGTGCAATATGTTTAGAATGAAATACATGTATCAAAAAGGAGTTTTAATTTTTGAAGTCAGGCATTAATATTATAATCTAATTTTTTTTAAAAAGTTTCAAAATGAGGCTTAAAATAACAAGATGTATTTGTGAAACACTGATGTCCCAGTATGGCAACATAGTGAAGATTAAACTTTCCTTAGATGCAAATTTAATATATTGGTACCCGAAGTTGGGTCTCCTAACTGGAAATACAATTGTAAAAATGAAAGCCCCATCACCATCTGTTCCCAAGTTATGGCCAGGCTAAAGTTTTATCATAAATACATAAATCTTCAAGATCAAGGTCAGAAGGTCAAGGTTATTGGTATCCGATGAAAGGTCTTTCCACAAAGATAACATGTTTGAGGTATAGAATCCCTAGCCCTAACCATTGAAAAGTTATGGCTTAGGTTAAAAAGATTTTAATAGTACGTTAAACTCCAAGATCACGGTCAGAAGGTCAAGGTTACTGATATTGAATGAAAGGTCTTGTCACAAGAATTACATATGTGAAGTCTGAAAGCCCTAGCCCTTAC